TAAATTTTTTTTTTCCTTTTACCTATTTATTTATTTTTTTATTAACATAATAATATTGTAATAATATWATATTATTCATCTAGACTAAAGTGGTCTATATTATTGGGTATAAATAACACTCACTTTATGAATATTTTTGACATTTTATGTTAAAAGCTTTTAATAAATATTTATAAATGTTTACTCGAAAACAAATTGAAGGTTTAAATATCATCAAGGGAATCAAATAATATTTAAACAAGTGGTAATAAAAATACTAATAAGGTGAATTCTATGCGTATCACAATGCCAATGACCTTTAAAAAGATAAACTATTTAATGGTATTATAGTATCTAATATGTTAAAAAAAAAATTTCAGATACAATTAGCATTGAACATAGTGTTGCTAGCTTATTTCAATTGCATGCATATAGCGATGTAACAGTAAATATTGTAAGTCCAGAATCTGTCATGCTAGATTCTGTTGAATTGACATTCAGAGACCAATATCTTGGACGATCTGAAATGTGGCGTTTAAGAAATTCAATGATTGATACTTGTGTTTACAACAATAAAAAAATGGAATTTTGTGGTGGATATACTCGTGTTCAAGTATATCAAATGTGGACCAAAGGAAAAATTGTATCTTGTGGAGTTATCAGCCATAATACAAAGGTTTTTATTAATTCATTTTAATATCAGTAATTTGATGTACTTTTTAAATTATTTTTATTTTTTGCCTAATACAATGCTTTTTTTGTCAAAAAAAAACATATAATTTAACATACCAAATATATTGGATAGTATTATTTTAAATTAACTTTAAAAAAAATCAAATTAAAATAATTTCACTGATACATATAATGAATGCTAAGTATTTGTGTTCCAGGCCTTAATTCTATTGTAATTTATGTGATATTTTTTTACTTAAATTATATATTTATATTTATTGAATTCTTATTTGTTTAGATAGTTTTTAGATCTGCTACAAGTATGGTGTATATTTTTCTTCAAATGACTTCTGAAATGTGGGAGTTTAACTTCTTAGGAGATACTTATTTTGAAAAATCTGTGGATGGTTTTCTATTTGATTTATTTGAAAAATGGCGGGTAAGTTTATAAATTTAACGTAAATTTCTATATTTTATTTATGTATTACTTCAAATCATAAAGTTAATACTATGTCTTATATAATTTATAATGTGTATTAACTATATAATTATGTAGTGTGTACCAATTACTAGTAATTATTCATCTAAATTTGTATCAACAGTAATTAACTATATAATTATGTAGTGTGT